TGTGTATGTGAAATGAATGAAGTCTTACTGGCAACAATAGCAAAGAACACACATGATAATGCAATCTGTTTTGAAGAATTGTATTAGCTGGCAGGTGGGGAGGGGGGGCAGTTTATGAAAAAGGAATTTAACCATTGCAAACTGCTTCAAAGGTCGATAATTTAAAGTGTAAAATTAGCATATTAGCAGATTTCCTCAATGATGTTAGATCATAAGATGGAAAATCAAGGGGATACACTTGGATGGGTTGCGTTTGTCTGCTGTCTAAGACAAAAGTAACAAGTAATTTTTTTTTGTAATTTAATTTGAAAATGTAATTAGTTAAATTACTAGTTACTGTTAAAAGTGGCGGAATTACAGTATTGCATTACTGTGTTACTCCCAACACTGGCAGTTTTTCTTTGGCAATGACTTTTTATAAAGTTCTAGTCGGGTTTTTTGAAACTGCACCTCTAAACTGCTGATCAGTACTCTGTATTGGTCCTTCTTGACCCTAAAGCACCCTTTGCCTCTATTGATCAGGTCATTCTCAATTGATAGATTAAAGCAGTAGGACGGTGTGTCCTGGAACGACCCTGGATTGGTTCCCCCTCCTGTTGAAATAGGAATAATTTTCTTCAATTGATTATTTTATCAGCTGCAGAAGTTGCATATGGAATTCCTCAAGGATCCATACTACTACCACTTCTGTACTCACTGCACGCCTTCCTTACTCACTGTTGTAACATTCCCTTTCACTGATGTGATACACAGTTGTGCCTATTGGTCAAACCCAAAACTTTCACATGTACAGTTTTGGTATTTTTAATGAGGTAGAAGGAGTGGGTGCCTTTTTAAGGATTTTAATGTGGAAATTATACTTTTTCTTTTAAGAAAATACATCAAATAGACATAGTCCTGGAAGAGAGCTTTAAAGACCTACATTCAATATATTACTAAAGTAAATAGGCCTGTACTTGTTATCAGCTAGTATACTACATTAATTGATTATAATAATTATTATCATTATTATTATTCATGCATTTGGGGTTGTTTAACATATAACAATTAATTATTTAATCTATAACATTGCATGTCATATCAATGCATCAAGTTAATTACAGTATGTTTTGTAAGAGAAAAACAACTTTAACACCTTTTTCCTGTCAAATGTAAAGGAGCGGAGGTATAAAGTTGCATAAAATAAAAATACTCAATTAACTACAATACAATTGTACTCAAGTGCAGTAATCGGGTTATTAGTTTCTGGCATTAAGATATAATTTGTTTAAAAGTCAGCATGTGTTGACGTGTGTAATGACAGTGTGTGTGGTGGACAGGCCAGACACGTGATGTTCATAACAATGTTTCACAACCAGCTGAATCACGCTGGAAACAAACAACATATCTTGTTTTGCATCTGGGATAATAACTGGCATGTTGATCAATATACTCCGATTGATCATTGCTGGATGGATGTTGAAACAACTGTCACTTCCTGCTCACATGTGGACATCAAGTGTTTCAGGATGTGAACATCAGCAACCGCTGCTGGGAACAGGGAGGGGGATAAAATATAGTTCCTCTTCAAAATTGGATGCTATTTTGAAGGTGTGTTCGCCCAGCCAATGAGGCTGCAGCACCCACATGCGTCATTCTGGGCAGAGAAAGGGGGTGGGGGGGTCTCTGAGCCTATAATAAAGCCGGCGACTGCGCCCTTATCCTCAGACACAAGTGAGAAGAACTGAAGACTTTAACAGGACGCCAAACTACAAGAACTCGAGAGAAGACATTTCAAAACTAAAACTCTTTTCCCACCGGCTTGTGTATAATATTTTTAAATTTTCAACAGCTGTTATTCAACTTTTTTCCTCTTTGGAACTTGATTTTTCTGCGCTAAAACAATCTGTGCAGTTGCGCATTTTTCTTACCTCATCAGACACTTACTTAATCTTCCACAATGTTTCCAGAGGCAAACAAAGGGTGAGTAGACTTTTCTTTTTGTACAGACTGTACTTTCATCTTTCCTCTCCCCATGCTGCTGAACACATGGCCCCTTCATGGGCCGGCCAGGAGTGTGGGTAAAAAATATACCCGGAATGTTTGGCTGGGAGCCAGAAAAAAAGGGCACATGCGCTGTGCAGCTGAGGTTACATAAAAAAAAAACACTAATTTATTCCTGAAGGAGTCCTCAGTGTCTTTGACAGTTTATATAAACTCATGCACATCTTTGCTGATTATACCATTATTAATATCAATATTCCTTGTCAAGACTTTTCTGTGAGAACTACAATTCTTATTTTTTTCAGTTTTATAAGTATATCTATATCTATAGATGCATGCCTGAGTGGGGGTGAATGGAGCAGTTTGTCAAATGAAAAGAACAAATCACATGGGATGTGGGAGTGTAATATTTCAACCCCGCAGACAAGTGTGAGCGTGTCACCATTAAAGTGCATGAGAGGCGTAATACTGCTGTGACTCAGCAGGAATGTGTGTGTGGGTCTCTTCAAAAGTCATAACCCTATTAGTAGCAGTTCTCAGATTAGGCATCTTCCCCTGTAATCTGATAATAATGATCACATGGTGCTTAATGAATTAGGAGAGGCAAAGAGAGGTGAATGAGGACTCTGGGAAAAGCTGACATTATGAGAGTTTTACAGCAAATGAAGTCTTGGCACAGAAGAGGCAAAAACGTGAAATTCACATTACTGCTGATCTTTTTGAGATAATTCCCTCACCTTTGCATTGATTCCTGCTTGATTTTCAAACCGTGGTCATCCTAACCTCTGACTCTCTTTTCATGTCATCCAGGTACAGCTACGAGGACTGCAAGGCCACTGCCGATTGGCTGATGGCCCAGACAGACGTCCGACCCACTGTGGGCATTGTGTGCGGCTCGGGGCTCGGAGGCCTTGCTGACATGTTAAAGGATCAGGTAGCCTTCAACTACAAGGACATCCCCAACTTTCCACAGAGCACCGGTGAGTTTAACTTTAATTTAAAAAAAAAAACTCTCAGATGACTGGTTCCCATTTTCTGTTGCTATTTACTGACTGGTTTGTGTTTTGTTTTTTTGCCCTGCAGTGCACGGGCACGCTGGTCGGCTGGTGTTCGGCACCTTAAGGGGGAGGCCATGTGTTTGCATGCAAGGGCGCTTCCACTTGTACGAGGGCTACCCAATCCAGAAGGTGTGTGTGTGTGTGTGTGTGTGCATTTGAACTCTTGAACTGACTGCATCAAGAAGCAATTGTGGCCTTTAAAAATGTTCCACATCCTGTCACACTGCTGAAAGATCCTTTAAGCCAACTAAACCACTGAATGGTTATGTAACATCTATATTTATCTACTGTATGTGTGTCTTTTCAGATTACACTGCCCATACGTATCTTCAAGCTGCTCGGTGTGGAGACGGTGATGCTGACAAACGCGGCCGGAGGCCTCAATCAGGACTTCAAAGTCGGAGACATCATGATCATCAAAGATCACCTCAATATGCCCGGCTTCGCTGGCAACAATCCACTGTCTGGACCCAACGATGAGAGGTATGTGTATGGAGTGTGTGTATTAAAACATGCTGTACATTTAAAGTTTCCTGCCTAGGCCTGTCAAACCTGTTAGTAGACATTCTGCATTATTAGCCTTGGTCCTCTTCAGGTCTTTACCCTCACTAAACCTTCCACCTGTCTCTCTACTTCTTCCCTCTCGCAGGTTCGGTGTGCGTTTCCCCTGCATGTCCGACGCTTATGACAGAGAGCTGCAGCAGCTGGCCATGGACGTGGGACAGGAGCTCGGCTTCGGGGACTTCCTGAAAGAGGGTGTCTACTGCGTGCTGGGCGGACCCTCATTCGAGACCATTGCTGAGTGCCGTATGCTGCACAAACTGGGCGCTGATGCTGTCGGTGAGTAGTTTTTATGGACTTATTAGCCATCAATACAGAATATTTTATATATATGTTAATTAGGTGGGCAGCAATGATATATGGAAAATGTGCGTTATTGTTATGTGTGTGTTATTTTGGCCATTTTTAATTCTTGTGTCAGATATGGACACTCACCTACAGAAATCAGGGTAGTGAAGTAGTAAAACCTTTATATCTTGCATATATTGATTCTCTCCCTTTCCTCGCTAGGCATGAGCACAGTCCACGAGGTGATCATCGCGCGTCACTGCGGTATGAAGGTCTTTGCCCTCTCGTTGATCACCAACCAGGTGGTGACGGACTACGACAGCGAAGAGAAGGCCAATCACGAGGAGGTCCTTCAAACGGGCAAGCAGCGAGCGGAGCAGCTAGAGCGGCTGGTTTCCACCATGGTGACCAAGATCGAGCACAACAACAACTATGCCTAAGAAACGCCATGCAGTCAGAAGCTAGATTTTAGTCTTTTAGTGTGACTATAAGTGGTTATGGATCGCATTCAATGCTATCTTGCCAAAGAAAATTAAAATGATGCTTAGTTTATTATTTGGGTGAGCAGTTGGGCTGTCTTTAGTCTTAGGTCAAAAGATTATAGCATTATAGTCCTCTGAAGAATCTCACTTAGATAAACAGAAATAGCTTTGTTTTCATGTCACTGTGCCTTATCTGACATCTTACATTCCTCTATGGAGCGACTCCAAACAAAAGTCGCGTCTCAGTTGTTGTTTTTTGTATCATTTTAAAGGAGGCGTATTTGTTCTAACGTAAAATACATGGCATCGGCTTGTATAAATGTCTGCAATTTAACTTAATGAGCAAAAATCTGCTGTAAAGATCTTAATATTATGATGTTGTTGAAATATGTACATTAGTGGATTTAAAGTATTTTATTGTGCTTTTTTTAATATGAACGTTGTTACTAAAGGTACTATTTATTACTATAATAAGTTTGTTTGTGTTGTTCTTTTGGGGGGGGGGCTGAAGGGGAGCCTTTTTTACAGATTGCAATTGATTTACTTATCACAATCATTAAAATCATCATCCAACTCAGACTTAATTTAGAGATTCAGTGCAAATGTAATCAATAATTAACTCAGAGACTCATGAAAACATCCCCATGTTTATTTTCAAAGTGTGTATGGAAGTTTTACAGAGACGCCACAAAGTAAACCACTGTACTGCATGATGAATGGGTCCAAAGAGACTCAGAATGTTACTTGTGTAAACATTAAGTAATGTTATATAAGCATTACGCGGCAAAAACTGAAGACAAGAATGCTGGCATTGTTGGAGTATCATATAAATGTATGGGCTTGGCAGTTGCTTTTTGATGAATTGTTTCAAATTAAATTCTTCCATTTACAAAAAAACAAAAAAAAATTGGTAGAAGAAACATTTGGGGTATTTAAAACACTTGAATTGTAGATACTCCATAATTAAAGGCTTTCAAGTCTTTTTCTTTTTTTTTTCCAAAAGTGACATTATTTTGGAATACTCATCAAATGAAATACTTGCTCCCCAGAAACAGACAATATACCACATTTCACACTGCATGCATACAACATATCCACACATCTTGCATAATAGTTTACCTTCACCTTAACATACTGACGTGGCAGATTAAGATTAAACAAGGCGGACAAATCCCTCATGACATCCAGTTCAGACATTTATATAAAAGTATTTTTTCATATGTGCCATGCATAATGATAAGCAGGTACGTCTTAAAGCTAAACAGAATAAGTTTAGGGAAATATAACTCAACACATTCTACATGATACAGCACACTATTGTCTCTGCACTGCAGGGCCCAGTGAAGCTTCATGAGTGGACCCTTGAAAAGTGAAAGCAATTTTGGCACAAGATGTAAATGGAAAGTGCCAGGCCGGCAGCGTCCCTACAAAGGCTGAGTAGAGATACACATGATGCACATTCAGCACATATGAATGTAGTAAAGAGTAGAAGCTAAAGAATAAGCTGGCACACTCAACAGCTCTCCACATCGACCACATCTGGCACTGAGACTTTGATAACTGACAGAAGGCTCCACTTCAAAAAAAAATTTCTTAAAATATGCTCTTTGAGGAGTGTTTTGCAGATTGTCAGGCTGTCCTCAAGTACAGTAACTCTTAGTAAAATAGACACAGATTGTATTTCCCCATATCAATTCAATTGAATTAAAAATCTGTCCAAAAGTATTATTTCCCCTTTGCAGACGAATGTAGTCATGCAGACTCATCCCTTACAGTATAGTGCTTGTATACATTTTACGATAAAGAGTCGATAGCCAATTCCCAATATAAAAACACCCTTAAAAAGTAAACCACTAACTGACTTAAAATTTCTTAAATAGGTTAAAAGGGGAAAATGTTTGGTTCTACATAGATTTAATGGAACAGAAATAATCATATTGGTTGTGTAACAGTGCCACAGTGTCCATGTTGGACAGCAAAAACATGGAATTAATGTTCTTCCCTTTGCTTAGATGAACTCAGCTTAGCTTGGCTACCTCAGCCAAAATGGAAAACCAAACCAGACTTTTTAGGAAAAAGTACAATTAATGAACGATTTTAGTATTCAAGTTAAATAAATCAGGTCAGGCTGGCAAGGTCAAGAATTATGTTACTATGATGGGCAGCCAAATCATGCTAAGGGAACATAAACTAACTCTAAAGAGGACAGTTACCAATGTAAAATTCCATATTTTTCCTCAATTTCTTTATCAAATGTATGTGTTTAAATGTGTATTAGTTAATTCGTCAATGTATTTGACTACTAAATCCATTCATTTATAATCTTATATGTCAGGTTTGGTCTTATAAAACGTGGTAGCTACAAGCTAGAATCTTGAAGATGAAACATGAACGACAGCTAGGCTAAGGAGATAACTTATGGAGGGAAATATAAGCTATGGCTAGATTGAATTTTTTCCCCCAACCAAGCAAGCTACATATCATAACAAAAATGTGAGACGTTTTTGGCTCCTGGCACTGAAATTTAACCAATAAGTTTATTTCTGCCCCCAGAGTAGCTCTGCCTCAAATAAATGTTTGCACAGCTATAAAGCGGTCTGCCTTGCTCGCAGTCAGTGCTACCACAGAGTTGACTGCCAGGCTGCAAGAAGTGAGGTTCCTTTCTGTTGGCAAAACAGGTGACAAATAAAGGACTGGCACATGTTTTCAATATAGGCACTGTAAAGATGAATTTACAGTCTTTTAGCATCAGCAAGGCCTCAGCAGCGAGCTGCGTGGAGGAGAGGAAGAACCAGAGCAGAAAAAGGCACTTCTGAAACAACAACATACTGGGCCTGAAGCTGCAGCAGGATGCAGTGCAACAGTTAAAAAGGACTCCACTCATCTCTAGGCAAACATGGTCAGCGTAATCCACTGTAGAACACAAAGAGCATGTGAATTAGGGAATGGTAATCATGACTAAATCACATGTACGTTATGCACAGAAATGGTGAGTAAATATCCGACACAATATAAGAAGTACTTTTTAGTACAAAAAAATTAAGAAATATGTATGAAAAGCAAAGACAGAAAGAGTTTGGGTATATGGTAGCATTTCTGTTTATGTAAATGTTAGGTCATACCTGAAAGAAGTTGAGAGATATGACTTTGTCCTTATCTGTGTCCATGGTCTGAAAGGTTTCTGTAGAGACAGAAACAAAAAGAGTCACCTATTTTGAAGTGTAACTTCTATTCTGGTTTAATATGCTGTGTTTTGTGATGCAAGAACACACCACCCCAACCTGCGGACATGTACTGTATGTTATTCTATTTACAATTACAAATGGTACTGTTTCATCTGGGTCTAAACATTTTTGTGATAAAGTGAGGTGAAAGCGAGTTTCACGTTGGCCTTTTTATCTTTTATTTTAACAAAACATTTTGATTGGACAAACAAATTGGATGATAAGTAGGGAAACTGTTCCTTTAAAGACACTGAATGGGTGCAGTAATGGGACTTACTGTACATGGTCTCCAGTCTGATCAGACAGGTGACAAAGTTGTCAAAGTCGACAGTCATGTCGGCCTCCGTGTAGCGCAGGATGATTAGCTGGAACAGGTGGTTGGTCAGCTTGAAACCTGAAGGAGAGCAGACAGGAAAATCAGATCACAGGAGGAACAAAAAGTCTTACAAAACAGTAATCAACAGTGTCAGAATAACCTTTTAACCAGTAACCCAGCAGAGAACACTCTCTCCCTTTTTGTGTTGGCATAAGAAGGAATAGTACCTGCAGAATCCAGGGCCATCCTCAACTCGTAGGAGCTCATGGTGCCCGATTTGTCCAAGTCGAACTCCCTGAATATAGTCTGGCATGGTGACACAAAGAGATGGACAAAGAAGGAAATAACAGAGAGAAATAAGAGAGACAGAAAATGAAGAATGGAAAGAAACAGGTATTTAAACAGCAAACAAGAAAATGGAAAAAAACAGTCCACTGGCCAGATGTCAAAATACACAACAGGCTGACGCAAGTACCATGAAGCAGAATAAATATTTAGCCACATTTCACCATCTGACCCTTCAGAGTTTTATCTCACCAGGTATCGTTTAATCTTTTCCCAGAGTACATGGAACTCTGTCAGGCCCAGCTTTCCACTGCCATCCGTCTGAGTCGAGAAGTTAAGGAACAACAGTGACTTTCATTTGGTACGACAACAAAATAGACGTAATAAAATCACAGCCACCTTAAATAGGGAACTACAGTGATTTTACACATCAAAGTCTGTTGACAGGTGCTGGCAAGTACTGCTGCGTGGGTGAGTCTGATTAAAGTCTGTTAAATCGTAAGGAAAGTGACGCCTCGGTATCCTTGTGTTCATTCTGGCGGCCCCTGTGGACAAAAGTGTTTGTACTGACTCGCTGCATTGATTTCAAGGGGAATCCGACCGAATCTGACCCGGTGGCAGGCATTAAGAATAACTACATAGAAATAGCCAACCTTCGTCTATTTATATAGGTCGTTTAGAGGCATCAGTTTTACATTAAGACGTTTAAGAGTATGTTTAAGATAAAAGAAAAAAAAGCTGAAATTATATTCAATGACATTTCAAGGATACGTCCATGAGGTTTATCATACTGCGACAAGCTTCTTTTGTGAAGCCATCTGTTTTCAGGTCTTTATCTGTTGTAGGACAAAGAGAAAACATTCATACAAATACCGCTTTAATTCCACAATGCCGTAAGCGAAACACAAGCTTGTAATTCCACAGCACAGTTGAGCGTGATTACTAACGTTTGCTGATGATCCTGTTCAATATGGTTTGCAGCTCTGTGATGCTGATCTCCATGTCCTGTAGGCACAAACGGAGAAGGTCAAATAATTTGACTATGACTGTGTTTACAATGAAACATTTCTCTATTCCACCAAGTGCCAAGTGTGCTCACCGGCCCTGCCAGCTGCCTGAAGAGACTCTTGAAGCCTGCGTCAATCTGGCTCTCATCCAGCCGAGTCTGAAACACAAACAGTAACGTTTTCGGTACGCGTTTGGTTTCTTTCTACATATCATTAGTAGTCAGGTGTTGCACTTCAGCTGTTGTGTTTCATCCTCTCACCTCTGCTGGAAGATCTGCTATAACGTCATCATCAAGCTCCCTGACATGGACAGAAGAAAGACTTAACTTAGACTAAACTTAAAAAGTTACTTAATTGCTTATTCTAAACTTGAACAAAAAATACCAAGATTTTTTTTCAGGAGACAGAATACATGAAAAAAATCTTTTCTCTAGGTGTAAAGAATATATAAAAAAGGGCAAAAATGGCATCATTTTCGCCCTCAAACTTCATATAATTCTTAATTCTTAAGTTAACGTAGTAAAGCCACTCACTCAGACTCAGCGGGCTTCTCAGAGAAAACCCTGAGGACAAAGTCGGCCTCTTTGTGCGGCTCGAAGGTGGAGGGGACGATGATGTATTCTCCGGCCGGCAGCTGCAACCGCGAGCTGACCTCCCTCAGGTTGATGAAGAGCTCTGAGCGAGCGCTGGAGGCGTGGGTGAGGAAAAACTCTCGCTTCAGGTGGACCCCTGTCCTGCCCTTGAACTGAGAGGGGAGACTGTTACTTCTGATCTTTTCGAAACTCTTAAACCTCTAACTTTAATGTTTTAATCAGATTAAAGCTCATTATGTTTGCATTCCACAATGTCTGGAGAGCATTTGACAGCTATTAGGTTTTTTAAGTCACAAGGGAGAGAAGGGGAAAGAAGTAATATGCATACCTCTTGTGGAACCTGTAAAGGACAGAGAGAGTGAGAGATGAGATCATTACTACGATGGATGTGATCAGGAACACACAGAGAGACAGGAAAGAAGAAATAAAGAAGAATCTGTGAATCCTGAAACTCAATTATAAAATATAATAAACAGTCAATCGGAGTGAGATAAGATTAGCTCTTTTTCACTGCTGGAATCTAACTAAACATAATGTAACTTATAAATATTGTAACTGGTACCTCTTTTGTTTCCTCTTTTCTGCTAATTTAGTTCCCCATGTCTGGGCGACATGGGTATTACAACACACAACCGAACAGTGATGGGAAAAATTTAAAAAGGAGGTTGAATGCACCAACCATTAACCACAACATGCTCCCAACATTCTGGTTCCCATCCTCTCCCTGCATTTACTGTAACCTCTCTACTTTCGACTCATTAATAAAGGCATTAAATCCCACAGAAATTACTCTTTAGACTCTAGAAAAAAAACACATGGAAATGTGTGCGGAACAAAAAAGTAATTTGACACACTGGATGCTGCGACGGCGTAACAAACCTGTATCTGTACCTAACATAAACATGTAGGAAAATCAATAATATCAGCCTGACGTTTTTTTCATTGTTGTCTGTCTGTAGCCAAGTTAATGGTACATACAGTATTGGAAATGCTAGTAAAAACAGACAAGGTTCTTAAAAGAACCCACAGGTTACAGTGCATTAAGTCCTTGCAGTAGGAACGGCTCTAAGCAGCGTTTTCTGGACTGCAGCTAACCTCATAGAGGGCGAATCCAATGGTCTCCATGTCTTGGCCCTCCCGCCGTTTCTTCCTGCGGTCTTTCTGCATGAGCCCGACCAGGAAGCTGCAATCTGATTGGCCGGGAGTGTCTGGGTGCTGAAGCACAAGCTTGAACTGAGGGTTGAGCCAAAAGGTTGCTGGGAAGAAAAGTTGGAAAGGTCAGATAGTTGTTTTTTAGCAATTAGCAGTAATCAGGCTCATAAAGACTTTTTAGATAGGCAACTGTATCTTACCAACAAAAACTGAAAGATGCCAATTGAAATCAATTTTTAAATTCAGTGTCAGTAGTATAGAAAATAAATAACACAATTTGTCTAGGTCATAGTAGATCGAGAAAACAGACTTCCATGCATGTCCTCAGTCATGATGGGGCATTTCCAAAATTTATTTTAAAAAAGGCCATTGTTTTGCTATTTATTGTTTAAATGGGAGTCACTGGTTCACATTCCTTTACTAAATTCACCCAAATCCTCCCTGCTTCCATGTTTTTTAATGTGTTTTATTCCCAAACAATGTCCAAAAGTAAAAGGGTCTTATTCAGTGTCTCTGCAACAGAATTTAACACCAGCATGGGATCCTAAAACTGGTTTGGTCAGTGCATGGTGACAGAAACTCTGGGATGCATTAGACATTTTAAAGAAAAATTAATAATTTATACCTCCACCCATTCATCTGCTACCTTCCAGTTTTCCCTCTTTCCTCCCTTTCAACACTTCATACCTGGGAAGTTCCTGCAGCCTCCAGCAGTGCTGCCTCTCCTCCACTCTCCCTGATAGAGCGAGGAGCTCCATTTCTTCATCTGGGTGTTCTGCAGAGCATCAGCCGTCAGGTTGCAAAGCTCCAGACGGCTGAACTCACGCAAGAAGTCACTGAACGACATCCTGTGAGACAGAAATAGATACACTGTTGAGACAATGCAGAGACACAATGGTTCTAAGTTATTTTTATTTTATATAAGAGTTGAACCTTGTCCCAGTACAGATGACAAAGTGTGCTGACATTTCAAACATATACTGTTTGCTGCTGAGAACATCAATATGTCAAACAGACGTTACAAAGGGAAAAAGAGGTAAAAGAGCACAGAGTCTAACATGTCCTGGTGTTAGTAGAGTGTTGCCTTTGAGGTATCCAATCATATCACATCCAGTTTGATAATGTGTCTTTGGCATCTGAAATAATACACATTTATTCCTATAATGGGTTAAACACTTATCAACAAAAGCTAATTGAAATCACTGGGGCAGAAAGGTCTTTGGGGGTTTAACCACATTTCTGGCCATACTCCAATCAGCAATGTCACATCAGGTGATTTTCTATCAGCTGCCAAAAGGCAAAAATACCACACAAGTAAGTGATGTGAGTCCACATGAACAAGAAGACTCACCAGAATTCACCATCCTCGCTGCGGTTTTGTAGCCGACTTCTGACGGAGCCATCCACATTGTCCCATTCTCTGGAGCTGAGGATTTGATAAAGAAAAGATACAAAAATAAAAACAAAAGAGTTACCTACTGGACCTGAGGAGTCCAAATGTCATAAGTCATTGTCATCAGTTTGGCAGGTACTGTAGTGTAAATTATGACCTGATGGTGGTGCTAGAGGAAGAGTCAGGTGATGACTGAAGACTGAACTCATGCAGTTTGTTGGCAATCCATTGAATATTTATTAAAATATTTCTGTCTGAAACCAACTGACTGACATTGCCATCCATTGAGCCATGCCGCTCTTGCCCCCCCTGACTAAAATTTGGACAAAAATATCTAAAACCTTGAAGATTATCTTTAATGTGATCATCTGACCACGATCCAAGCAGATGCTTTTTTAGATTTTCCTTGATCTTACTTGAAACCATCAGCAGATAGTGCCAGCCCTCACGTGTGTACTGTAAGTAAGTAAGTAAGTAAGTAAGTAAATTTAATTTATAAAGCACATTTAAACACAGTATAAACTGACCAAAGTGCTGTACAGTGGATGA